AAGACTAGTTCTGCGATTAGAGGGGATATTGGGGAACCCATCGACATGTTCTACCATTAAAGATAAAAAGGTCCTTTGATAGAAGACGAAGAGTTGCATAACATGGTCAATTTCAAGAGTACCCCCTCAACTCGTCGCTCTTCTCTTCGAGTCACTTGCATAGAACGTCTCATGCCCGATCTGGCGGGATAGAGGTGAATAAAGAAACAGCGTCAAAGGAAATCATGGTTGTATCTGGTTGAATCGTTCTTCCCCGATCATCGACCAGAAAGTAGGAGGCCAAATTCATTGCGGTGTTCGAGCCCTCTCGGAGAAAACTTATTTTTCCTGCTATCCAGTTGGCTATATTGTAAGTAGAATTGCCTTTCAAAGCTACGATTGGCCGAAGGGGGACGTTGGGCTTGTGCATTTTGGGCAATCCGCAGAGCCGGGCCAATGCCTTAAAAGTTGGCTTAGTCTGTTGCTATTCGTCTTGCGATTTAATTTGGTGCGCCGGAGTCGTTTCAGGAGTCCGGCAAGATGGCTGATCATCGATTTAGCCTGCGAGAAAGGCATGCGTTTGTAGGACTGTTGGTCATCGAGGAGGGTTTGCGCTTTCTCGTTGCAATCGCAGTGCTCCACCACGACTGTTGCACTTCCCTTGTTGGCTGGTGGCACTATTATATCTTTGTTCATTTTCAATTTATTCATGGCTTCTTCGTCGATATTGCTTGCTTCAGGGAGTGGGCAATGGATTCGCCAAATTGTGTCGTTCACTCTGGCTTCTTTGTTCAATAACGGACCAGTACGTGCGTAGACGTAGGTGGCAGTCGTTGATCAATTCTAGTGTCATTTACTTGCGAAGGCGTTGCATAAAGTTTCTGTCGAATTCAGTATTCACTGGAGTTTTGTAACGCAGTCTATTCGCCTTTGGAAATCCTAGCTGCTCGTAAATTGCTGCTTCTCGGCTGGAGCATGTCTCCCACCTGCGAGGTGAGCGAGACTCTTCACGCCAGAAATTCTCAAGAATGGAAGCGAATGTGCGCGCCCCGGGTTCTCGTTGCAAAAGGCGCAGTGAGACGACGTGGGAATCGGGTTCAACCAATCGAGAATGCTACCCCCTACCCCACCATTCCACGTAGCTGGATCACCAAGCATGCCAATTCCTGCTGCACTCTTATTTTCTCTGAAGATGACCTCCTGTACAAGTCCGAAACCTCCGACTTAACAGGCGCTGTTCCAGTGATCGCAACCTCCTCTTCTCTGCAACAAGAATCTGGGGCTTGCATGCCCGTTTCCATTATTATTATTGTTTCTTGAACTGAGTGTTAGTTCTCTTCAAGGCCCTTAAGGCCGGCACCATCTCTTCTCTCTCTCTGCCCTCAGTGCAACACACAGATAACACGTTTTATCGTTCAGCTGTCACTTAATCCAAGTGTATGCCTGTTCCTCGTATCAAGTCCCCTTTTACTTCGTTCCTATCTATTTGATCTTATTTGATCTATTTGTTCTTTCTAAGATGACTCAAGTTCTGATTGTTGTTATGGTTAATTCTATTTATCCAATAAGTATACCATTTTTTCCCATCCTTTGGTCATGGCTTCCATAAAACATTCTGAATGACATGTCCTGGACATCAAAGTTCCATTCCTGTAGACTGCGCTCTGCGCTTTTGTAAACACGTGGAATCTTCAGTGTTTTTACTCAAACAGCCAAAGTAGCCTTCAGGGACATAAATATCGGTCGTTGCATCTTCTTACGTACGGACATCCGCGACTTTTCTCCAGCTTTTATATTTCTCTACGAAAACATCTTAAACAATAATATCTAGTTGGGCTTTATTTAGTGCTTTGCGGACAGGGCAGAGAGATGATAAGCTGCAGCATATAGAACAAGTTTGGTCCTGACTACCCCAACATGAATACTGTAAAAGCTTCGGCCACCGAATCCCTGATTCTTTTTTAAATATGCTGGCATTAACAGTTAGGCTTTGCATGAGTTCTGAGATTAAGTCTTACAGTGGTTGGCAGACCTTTCTCTCACGAAGAATAATTAGTAGTCAGTTTAATTGAGTTGCAAGTGGTAACAGTCTTATTTTATTGGCTTTATATTTTCTTTTGGGGTGTGATCAAATTTAGCCAACATTGTAATGTTACTTCATCTTCTAAGCCCTCATATGGCATGTTGTACATTGGGTATTTGAATGTTCTTTTGTCTTTCTTTCCGAATTGCCTAATCTGCATTTAAAAACTTACAGTGAGGCAAGTCCTGCATGCAATTTTCGTAAGGAACTTTAACTTGGCAGTTAAGCATATATTTGGACAGGTTGTTTTAATCAACTGAGTGGATTTAATAATTGCGAAGGCTTTAGTTTAGAAAACTGCCTCCTAGTTAGAGCGAAAAAGGCACTATTTTTGGCTAACTCATGAGTAACGTAATGGTAAAGAAATTTCCTCTGCTATAAAGTACGACTGATATAAATCTCTATTAATATGCATTTCGCTGTAAACGAATTCCAGAATAAGTAAAAACGTTGAAAGACTATCCCTTCCGGAACTGGAATATATTGTCCAAAGTTGCTCAAATCGAGGTGAAGCTGACTTTAAGGAATCGCATTTATTTGCAGAAACGAGGTAGATTTATGTTTAAAAAATTATATTTAGCTGACCTCTGAAGATTTGTTGCACAAAACGCAGTAACAAAAATAGTTCATCGCATTTGTTTTAAATCGCAACGCTCATCATGGCGTTTAAGTGAAGTGTCCGCATGTTTTACATGTTACCGAAGATAATGTAACCAAAGCCTCATTGAATGTAAGTCATGTTGAAGTGTACTCTTTTGTAAACTATGCGACCCGCCTATGCGTTATTTAGAAACGGAACAGACAGAAGAATAATAAGTAGTTCAAAATATTACAACGGATCATGCAATTAATCCACTTACGCGGAAAACTATCCATTATAAAGAGAAAAGCAAGCTCTTTCATCTCCAGTCAAATTGAATTGTTTATCTTCAGGTAAATTAAATAAATTGTCAAAAGTCTCCAATTTCCTTGTGACATTACCTTCGACAAAGTTAATACACACGGAAATTCGTCAGATAAATATCTAATTGAAGCACTTTTGTAAGAGGTAACCTGTTATGTTTTTATTAATCTTAGAAATAACAATATCCGAGTTATCTTGCGAACGTTCTGTATGCTCGACAATGTGGTTTGATGTTTTGAGACATTTCTAATTATGACTCAAATGGCCTTCTTCATAAGAACTACTATCCAAAAACTCATTTTTTTCGCTAAATACTCTTTACGTTTATCTAATTTTAAAGGTTTTGATATAAACGGCGGACAGAAGCAACATTTAGCAATTTTTCAATGAAGCCATTGAAAACGATCGAAATGATGCCAGACTTTATTGGACCATATTCAATAAATAGTTATCCAATAATGATAATATGTACAAAATATGTTTGACTTCAGAAAAGTTCTTCTTATATAAAGAAATTGGTTATATTCCGTTTTCACCGTACGAAAAGATTTAAATTTATTGTTCTAACTTATAGCTATTTTTTACGTCTCCGGAACATGGTGATTATAGGTAAATTTTATTTTTCTTGAGAAACGCTTAGTACTTCTTATAGTTCTTTTATGTCCTTAATATGGCTAATTCTGCCCATTATTATTTCTAATTCTCGTAAATCCGCTCCCGCCGGTATGCAAGTAATTATAAAAATTTTACTAATTAGGCATGTTGCGTGCAGCACTCGTCATACTGTATATTGTCACTCTAAGTATTCATCACGTGATGAAATACGAAAGGTGGATAAGGGTCATGGCCTGGAGCGACAATATGTTTAGCATTATGGTTATAAGGGGCAGTTGAAGAGTAAGATTTGGGGTTTATATTAGGCATAGGGGAGAAATTAGGTCACCGGTGTAGGTAACACCCCAGATCTTTGCTCGAGACCACCTTTAGCAGGGGAGCCATGCTTTTATGTGCGAACAACTATTTAACTCTCGACACAGTACTCGACATATTTTCCTACTTAAGTACTATTCCTTGTGTGGCGTTTATGCAGTGGGCAATCCTTGTGTAGTTAAATAATTCCACAAGTTAAATGAACGTATTAACAAATAAGGACCGTTTTGTCTAGAAGGTGTTAACTGCGACGCCATCACTTTATTCGGGTCTGTTATCATAGGTTTCATTCCATCGATCATGATATCAGTTTTATCCCTAGCGCAACTGTTATTTATCCGAAGTCTATCCGATATTGCACAAAAAAGAGCTGTCTTGATGCCTCAGAGGCACAGATTATCTTCATTTCAGTTATTCAACGTTTTTCGATGTTGCTTTTCTTTAAGTAATACCATATGAGAAAGTACGTTCTTCGGACATGTTAGGCTACCACAAATACGCACAGGAAATGAAAGCACCTTTTTTTAAATTTGCAGGGTTTCTGATGACATTTACGATGCGGCCCAGAATAAGAACCTACCTGTGACCGCTATCAGCATTCAGTAAAACTCCGGTTTACGGTCAGCTGACGCCTACTCACGGCACCGCAACTTGCTATTCACATTATTATTTGCATTGCATAATTCCAACACGATGCATGCGAGGAACATATCTAAATTCTGACCAAGTCATATCCAACCGGTGTTCACTGTTGCTGCCTTTAACGCTACCGGTCGCAATTTGCAGAGATAAAACACACTTTCCAGCCGCTGAAAATCTACCCTTCGGCTTACTTGAACTACATAAGGCCTTTGAATTTGTCAGTGCACTGATATATGTACACCACCGAAAGGATTCACTAGGACCGAGGTCGGCAACCTATGGCTCGCGAGCTATGTTTGCCTCTTCTGATGCTTGCGTCTGGCTCTCAAGTAAATTTGGAATTATAAACTTTACATTCTGTGACGTGCCGCTGCCGAGACGCGTATTAGAGTCAATTTAATCTCAACCAATCCCTGACGTTTCGGCCGCCCTAAGTTTGACCTTTCAGTTGTGTCATTGTTCCCTTTTCGGCTAGCCGATAGCAGCTGCTTCCTTTTTTTCTGCGTCCCAACAGCCGCGACAAGCTCGCTAAATAGCAGACGCTCTACTAAAGCACAACAGCCCCCAGACTTGACCTCAGCTTAGTCAAGGTCAGGCTGCAGACAAGGCTATCTTACGCGCACAGGCCAGCTTTTCTTCTCACCTATAGTCCCTTGTGTTTATGCCCCCCGGATGCACGCATTTATCACACGCAAGCAAACAGTCCATTCGCGGAAACTTGTCTTGTGTAGTAATTTCTCTCCTAACGTCTGACTGCTTTCTTTCATCAGACGGAATACTCTTAGTCTAGTGGTTATAGAAGATCGCACATCCTTGACCGCTACACACGCCCTCTCTCATTTGTTCAAAGTTAACCCTTGCAACAAAGAAGATGGCGAAATGAAAGGGAGATGAGGAGTATCGTACATTTCAGGGCGAATGAGCCGCATGGATCTACGTATGCATGGTAGTAGCCATTCTCACATTTTAAATACATCAAGTCCACCCTACGATCACGCCTAAAGGATGAAAGCCTCGACGCTTGCATGAAGCTTAACCTCACTAACTACCAACCACATTACAACTTCATCAGTGAATGCATGCAGCACCAGAAGTCGCATTAACAATGATTATTATAAGAACATCATTTAAAAGAATAAATCCATAGGCTTATTATGCGTGCATTTCATTGAATTTAATCTTAAAATATACTGTATGGCTCTCACTGAAATATCTTTCTGCATATTTGCTTCCTTGGCTTTCTGTGTCAAAAAGGTCTCCGACCCCTGCACTGGGAGCTAAATCATACAATCGATATTACGTCAGAGTTAAAACATCCGGTTTATGACAAAAAACCTTATTGAGATTTATTTAAATTGGCAAAGACCATCAATATTAGGCTAAAGGTTGCTACCATGTTATTTCGCTCTATTGCAGAGGTCGGGAACCTTTTTGACTCAGAAAAACCAAGAAAGCAAGAATTTAGAAATATATTTCAGTGAGAGTCACATACTATAGTTTAAGAGTGAATTTAACTAAATGTATCGGCGGTGGCACAAAATCTGAAGTTTCTTATTCCCATTTTATCTGAGATGGCCAGATGCAATCATCACATCTGGCTAACGAGATAGAAGTCTCCGACCCCTGCTCTATAGGATACTGAATGCAATTTAGAAAAAGGGGTCAAAGTGGATGCTTCTTCGTTCTACCCGTCTCATGTCAGTCTGCACTAAAGTAGCGTAAGTCAGAGAGGCAAACAAAACGATCCTTTTTTTGTAAATC